GAGGCCAGTGAAAATCTTATAAATAGCAGCATTACATATAGACATACATTAAAATAGAAACAGTGTACATATTGAACTCTTCACAAAATAGCTTTGAAGGTACTTTACAAAATAGTTTTGAAGGTACTTTGACTGAAATGCAAAAAATACAGTGGAAAGCATCAGAGAGTATCACTGCATAAATAGAATCATTCCCAGTGACAATTATTACATAAGAAAAGAAGGAGCTTATACAGAAAGCATTAAAAGGCCCAGTTGGCTGGGTAGATACAGCTGTTTCTATCCGTGGGTCAATGGCTGAAATACATATGAATGCAGTGTCTACATTTAGTCAAACCTATTATTGGTATATGGAACAATTTTGTATGATCAAAGGTTGAAATCATACCCTAGTTTTGTTTTGGTTCTGCAGTTGCCTATGTGGAAAGATACTCAGGTTGTTCCTTATGCTCCAGCACTTCCCATGCCACCGTGGAGTACCAGGTGCCCCTGCTGAGTAGACACACAATGTGAGGCCTAGAGCAAAATGTTGATGGTGTCTCATTCTTTTGAAATGTTACTGCTTCTTTCCTCCCAGATAATATCATCAAGAGGATATTTAATATTTTGAAATTTACCTGGGTCCTGTTTCTGGCAACAGTGGATAGTTTCACAACGTGGCTTAACTCCATTTCAAGGGAACATATTGATATATCCACAGTTCTGAGAATTGAAAGATGCATGCTGACCAGAGAAATTAAAAAGGTAACACTGTTGGTATAACTCTTTTTGCTTCTTCCTACATTATAAAGACTTTAAAAGTCAATATCCAGAACTCCAAGTAAGATAAGATAAAATATTTTCTTTCCAGAGAGTCATTTCATAACCCCTTTGCTCTTCAGTATATTTAAATCTATTTCATGCTAAGGATTAAAATAATCAAAACACCCCCACCCTTCCTAATTCCCACTCCCACCAGAGTTTGCATGTCTGCAGGCTCTCCAGTATCCCATAAAGGATCATGGTGTTTGGTCTGGAAAATTTGGTCAGAAATTCCTCATAGGAAAAATTAGTATATAGAGAACTATATGGTTTACAGATTCTATTTGAAACTAATGGTGGATTTATGGAAATGCTACTATGATTCAGGAAAAAAATATATATATCTACATACAAGAAAAGATTTCTTGTTTAGAATTACTTTGTATTATTAGAGGGAGCTCTGGTAGCATAGTGCCTAAGGCACTTGACTGCTAACCAGAAGGCTAGCAGTTCATACTCATCAGCCACTCCTTAGAGGGAAAGTTGGGAAATCTACTTCTGTAGTGATACAGCCTTGGAAACCCAAGGAGGGATCTCTGTGAGTCAGGTCTGACTCGATGGCACATAACAACAGTATTGTTAGAAACCCTATGGGGCAGTTCTGTCTGTCCTATAGGTTCACTGTGAGATGGAATTTACTTGATGACAACAGGCTTGGGTTTTGGGAGTTTAGTACTATTGGGCACTGCAAGGAACACTGGTGGTACAGTGGTTAAGTGGTTGGCTGCTAGCCAAAAGATCAGTGGTTCGAACTCACCAGCTGCTTCATGAGAGAAAGATGTGACAGTATAATTCCATAAAGATTTCAACCTATGAAACTCTATGGGGCAGTTCTACTCTGTCCTATATAATCACTCTGAGTCAAAACAGACTCAGTGGCAATAGGTTTTTGCTTTTCATTGTGCACCACTAATTAAATGAGTTGACATCAGCCCCCAGTGTGACTCCTTTTGTTTGCCCCTTATTCAAAGTGTGTATGACCACTAATTTCTGTCTGCAATGAGAAAGGAGATCTGGGGATGCCAGCTGGTTGGTTGTGCACTTACTTGCCTAAGAAACTATTTCTTCTTCTTCCCAGGGCAATGTTCCAACTCGGGAGAGCATCCACATGTACTACCAGAACCACATCATGAACCTTTCCCGAGAGTCAGGCCTAGACACCCTTGATAAACCCCCTGGTACTGCTGAAGGGTTGCAGGCAGCGCAAAGGATGGACAGTCTAGATTCTCATGACAGTATCTCCAGGTACATCATTTCTAAATAGTGCATTTGCTTTTTACAAAGGTTAAATAGCAGAAATTAATGTATGAGGTGAATGTTAATTCAATGCTCACATGAATCCTACCCTATTCAGGCTATCCTTGTGTGTACAACAAGGTAAAAGAAATATTTTCCTCTGCTAGGCTGGACCAGAAAAAAGCAGATACCAAAAGACAAACTTTGGGAAATACCCGCATGAATCCCAGGCACAGTGGAGACTGATCCTTGTCTGACACAAAATTGCATTTGTGCCAACAGTTGCGTATTCAGTGCCTTTTAAAACTAGATTATCCACAAAGTATATTCTTTATTAGAATCTTCTACCACCTGTGCTATAATGGATCTTTTCCTTTCAGAATTGTCCTTGTCTTTAAGGTCCATAACAGAAGTTCCTGCAATGGTTCTGCTGGCTCCCATCTTCTCTGTGGGTTATAGTCCCTGTGTGTGACTCACACACTGGGTGTCAGTTGTGTGCCAGCACTAAGGACTATAACTGTGTAACCACATTGTGTCCTTACAATACTATGATGTGTATCCTGGTATTATCCCTATTTTACAGAATACACAGTCCAGTTATAGTGAACTTTAGTAACTTACCAAAAGTCATGGCTAGGAACTCTAGAAAAGCAGACCCAAGGGTCAAACTTGAGTAGTTTAGCCTCAGAGCTTAAGTGAGCTCATGACCACCATATTTTGCTGCCTCTCCTTGCCTCTGCCCACCATCTAGGCCAACTTTCAGAACTGACATGTTTTTCTTGCTGCCTATCACAAAAAGGCTCTGAATTCTTTGCATCACAGTGTTCTAGATAGCTCCTGTCAAGTGTACAAAGCTATCTCCAAAATTGAGTAAAAGTTTCTGTCTTAAAAGGAAAAATCATGTTGCCTAGGTTAATTAATCAGACTGGATGAATTATACACTGCATCCATTTTCATAGGTAAAGAATTGTGTCACTGAAGATCCTCATGTGTCTCTCTTCTTTTTTTCAGTAAACATGCTTAAAAGTTAAAAATTAATAGGGATTAAATGTTGGGCTCTGGGCTCACTTCTGGATTAGATATAAAAATGAAGTCCCTACAGAGTAGTCCTATAGGGGGTTTGAGCATTGGAGGAATCTGGGACAAGGCCACTGCTATGAGGAGGATGATAGAAACTGGTTGCATTTTGACTACTGGTTGAGAAGCTCCCAAGTTACTTTACACTTCACATCCTGAGCAAGGCACAAATGGCTTGGAGAAGTATTTGTCCTTCATGAATACTGAATATGTTATAAGATGAAATAGGGGCAGAAAAGGAGCCTACCTTATTGATACAAAACCCAAAATAGATAAATAGAAATTGAAATTGCAACCTGAATGGGTAGTGGTGGTTAAAAAATGTTGTAACCATCGGAAGTGCTATTTTTAATTGTTGCTGAATTACTATATTTGAACTTCTCTAATTGTGCTCATTTGTTTTGTTTTGTTTTGTGTTTTGCTAGCTGATAATTATCTATTGATGCCAATCCATATGTATAGGTTTGGAAAGATATTATGCACACACACCCATTTGTAAAAAAGTTCTAAAGCATTTAAGTATTCATTATTTTAAAGCACTTTGATGGTTAATAAAAGAGATTATATTTCCCTTTAACTTGGGAATATCTTTGCTTATTTTACAAGGTCCAAAGAAGCCAATATATTTTAGCTAATAATACATATTTTTCATGAGCAGAAGAAACACTTAGGACAAATACCTTTAGGGGTTTCAAGTCAAGATATTTATTTCCTAATTTATATTCTGTTTAAGATCACTTAATTCCTGGAATAAAATTATTGATGATTAGAACAGTGTCACGCATGATTATAAAGCCTTCTTTTCCATTCTCCTTCTTCCCAAGCCTACACATATTTCTCAATCATTAATACCCAAAACATTAGTAATATCAAAAACTACAATGTGAAATTTTAGTATTATATCATTCAATTGATGAGCGTTAAAAAAAAAAAAAGTCCCTTAAAGCATCCTACAATCACCAATTTTGAAAGAGGAGCTTAAGTCTTCTCTTTTGACAGACTCTGTTGAAATCAAAAGATATTGGGGTAGTTTTGTTTTTTTTTCCCCCTTTGGTATTTTATTTTTATTTTTACAAACCATTATGACTGTTCTGTTTGGAAGCTCCCAACCTTGTTCAAAGTTTTCTTGGTATGAAACTCCTTTCTGTATCTGTAGATTGAGATATTTAAACATAATGATTTCCTCTTTAATTTATTTTAATGATAAAACTATAAATCCATTTTTATCCCCATTCTTCCCAGGTTCTCACCTATTCCAATTTATTTTATTGTAGCCATCCTTTAGTAATAAGCAGAGACAGTGTAGACATGTAGGCTAAGTGAAGAGTATGGGCAACCAAAAAGGGGGATAGTAACATGTAATGAATATTTAATACACTAATGCTGCATCCTAGTTACAGGGATGAATGGAGATAATTGGGAGATCTGAAAGTTTCCAAATCCACTCACTTTATATCCTACGCATGACTAAATAACCATTGTTTATGATGAGAGCAACTAAAAAATACTTTAGGTTTACATTTTTCAATTTTTTTTATTTTGTTTTGCAAAGCTTTCCATAAAGTTTCAAGGTTTCCATACGCCTCATGAGTATCATAAATGAGCTGGGCTTGAGAATATCTACACTAGAATTAAACTCTGCATCAAACAAATCAAAAAGAATAAAGAAAGTGAACTGAAAATAAATTTTTCATAAAGTAAACTTACATAATTTTTATGTTAGGGACTTTTTCCTGCATAATAAATGAGACTATGTCTGACTGAGAAATTAAGTAAATTTACAAATCACAAACTTAAGGGTTACAAAAAGAAGAAAGACAGGTGTAAGGAAAAATCAAGTAACTGCCTTTAAATCTGACCCATGATTACCATTATAAAACTGTTCCCACGGTCAAAAACAGAACTCAAAATCATAAAAAAGACTAGGCTTCTTGGTCTGATGAAGATTCGTGGAACCCCCAAGACTATGGCCCTTAGTAACCGTTCAAGCCAGGAAGTGACCTCAGTCCCTATGGCTCCACTTTCACCCAAACAATAGACAGGCCCATAAGGTGAACAGTAATACCAAGGAGGTGTGCATCCCTTAGAACAATCAATCAGACAAGATCAAAAGGGCAGAATTTGCCCAATTATAAAGCTAAGAAGGCAGGAAGGGATAGGAAGGAAGGAGAAAATGGAAAGAGTGATATTACATTGCGGGGATTGCAATGAATGTCACAGAACAAAATGTATATGAATTGTTGAATGGAAAACCAATTTGCTCTGTAAACTTTCACCTAAATACTTTTATAAAAATAAAACAAGACTGTGAAGAAGGAGATATTTAAATTCATTGATTGCTTTTTTACAAAAGGTATCCTTCAAATTATAAAATAATTAATTAATAAATTTACTAGTAGAAAACCAGCACTTTAAAAATTAATTTTTAGTATATTTTCTTTTTTCCTTAACCTCAATAAAAGGGAAAGGTCCATTGTATTAGTAAATGCTCTACTCCATTTGCCCTGCTCTTAATTATTGAGCCACATTTCTACTTTCTCTGATTCTAGGAACTTCCAAATCTCTAAACAATCTTTTGTGTAAGTTAATGTCTACAGAAGCCATGCTGATTTCTGAAAAGGCAGTAACTTCCTAGAAGATATTCTGAGTACAGGAGATCCCTCTCAGATACTATTTTCTTCAATTCCAGATGTTAAATGGCATATTTATTTTTTAATGATTTTTTTTTTTTTTTAAATGAACTCAGGCATTATTTACCTTCCCAGAAAGTAGTAGCTTAAATTGCTGCAAGAAAGATTTCAGTTACATTCTAAGGAATTTCTAGACAGGGAAGGGTGATTGTCATTTGAAATATGTCACCTATGAAACTGCTCTGTGCCCCATGGAGCTGTGTGCTGGATATCCCCAGGTGACTGCACAGATGTCCTACATAAACCCAGATAATGCACCTGGCCACTAGGGCCAACTGTCTGGGCTTTTTTGTAAATCTCCTCCCTCTCCTTAGCATTTAAATTGCTCACCCTACAATTAACCCTAAATTTGGAGGATGGTATACGTTTTGAAAGTGGGATGATGTGGCGGTAGACTTCAACCCAAGAATTAAGGAAAACATCACTTTTGAGTTCAAGCAGTCACTTCCCACATAGAAAGTTTGCTTTCAGCCTGTAATCTCCTAAAAATTCATGGGGTCACAACTCTAAAAAGATAAGGATCAAATTTCTTCATCTCATGGATGGTAAAATTGGAACAGAGCATGTTTAATTTATCCAAAATCAAACAACTAGATAATGGCAATGTTGTTGTTGTTGTTATGTGCCGTCGAGTCGGCCCCGACTCATAGCGACCCCCTCCTTGGGTTTCCGAGGCAGTATCACTACGGAAGTAGGATTGCCCAACCTTCCTTCCGAGGAGTGGCTGGTGGGTTTGAACCGCCAGCCGTCTGGTTAGCAGGCAAGTGTCTTAGCCACTATGCTACCAGAGCTCCCGATAATGGCAATATTGGAACTAAATCTCAATCTTTTCTGTGCTGAGTTCAGCTTCTTGTAGTTTACCCTATTCTTGTCTACTCATTAAATCCTATCCATAGTAACATCTGAAGGGGTGAGAGCTTTGTTTTTCAATCCATCTCTCTCTCTCTCTCTCTTTTTTTTTTTTTTTTTTTTAGTAGAGAGCCTTTGAGGGTTCCTCTTTGCCTCCCTACCACACTACCTCCATCTTGGCCATGTAATCATGCACAGGAGGTTGGCTTCTCTTTGGGGCTGTGCTGTCAGACTCACAGACTGAAAAGAACTTTAATTAGTCCATGAGTGAGTCACTCAGAATCCCTCCTCCCATCTTCCAAATGCTGGTACATCCTGGGTGGCTTTCTGTCCTCATGGTCTCTCTGATTCACTTCATGTAGCAGTACAGGTTGGGCACACACTGAATGCTAGCAATGGACCTACTCAGCCTAACAGTATCACTCCAAATCCTGAAGGGCTTGCACACTTCTTCCAGCAGGTAGCAGTGCTCAAGCTAGAAGAAAGTGTTCCTGAAACCTCCTCCATAGGCTCTCTGCAGCTGTTTGCCCCTCCTCGTGGTTTAACGCTATGTCTGAACTAAAATCATGTCTGTGTCTTAACTTTCACTTACATTTCTCATTTAGTAGCCTCACCTAGGGAGCTCTGGTAGCATAGTGGCTAAGACACTTGCCTGCTAACCAGACGGCTGGCGGTTCAAACCCACCAGCCACTCCTCGGAAGGAAGGTTGGGCAATCCTACTTCCGTAGTGATACTGCCTCGGAAACCCAAGGAGGGGTTACTATGAGTCGGGTTTGACTCGACGGCACATAACAACAACAACAACAGCCTCACCTAGTAGCATCTCCCTCCTGAACCTGCCATAATTCCCTCCCTGGTTGTTGCCTAACTTGTAACAGGACATAAAAACTTTAGTCAGCAGATCATCTCCCTGATACCATCTTCCTAAGACCTAAGACATGATCCAGAAGAAAAATTGGGCAAAATGAAAAGTTAACAGACAAAATGAAAATGAGCCTTGCTATGGCTAGAGTTCTATGTTATTTTCTTTGTAGCACTTTATTTTATTTTTATTTTGATGTTGGTTTATATCCAGTTGCATATCAAACCAACATCTCTTCTAATGCAAGGCATCTAGTTTGGCTTAACTAAATATAAGTCAGTAAACAGGGTGGAAACTTCATTTTGTTGTAGTCATTCCTGAGCTTCACTCTCTCATTTTGGAGACTGTGTTTTTTGTTCATTAAAAAAAAAAAAATTGAAATTTTGCATATAGATCATCACATGAGCAGATATTTCTGCTTAGGCAATTTGGTTATAAAATGCTCTCAATTAACTCAGGATTGGGAGTTCCAAATAAAGAATTTTTTCTTTTTCTTTTTCTTTATTTTTAAACTCTCTGTTGCAAAATTATAATTGTGTGAGTTCTGATTCGTAAGAGAAAGCTTGGGGCTTGTAGTTATTCTCTTTCCTTTTCCCAACCAGAATGGCATTTTATAACTTATCATGAGCCAATATGTTTAAAAAAAAAAAAAAAAAAAAAACCAAGAATCTTGTGTTTTATTACCCTGCCAAACAGGTCCTTCCCTCTCTTTGACCTTTATTGTGATGGTCATTATCATCGTTGCTGTTAGTGTTGTGTGTGGTTTGCTGCATGGCCCTTTGTTGGTCAATTGATCCATGTATGAACTGATCTACCACTGGTGTTTTAACACTGTGTCTCTGTAACTGTTTGCGCTGCTAGCTGCTACACTGAAGCAACCATGCTGTTCTCAAGGCAGTCTACCCTTGATGATTTAGATGGACCAGAAACTGTTCCTAAAACCAGTGAGCGGGCTCGACCTAGGCTCCGTAAAATGCTCAGCTTGGATGTGTCCTCCTCATCAGCTGACAGTGGCAGTTTAGCATCAAGGTGCTTAACTTGTGCATGCTTTGTTTCATAATTTTATCACCTTCTGCCTCTATGTCATTGCAAACATATGTTCTTATGATATCTATTATTTTTATTTTTATTTTTTTTAAGAACTTGCATGCCTGACAAAAGCAAAACCAGCACACTTTCTGAGACTTACTGTAGTTCTCAGAAAAGTATTGTATTAAACGAACTGCTTCTTAATTTTTGTCTGTTAGGGATTTCTTAAACTCCTTATTACTAACATTGTCCTCTATTTTTAAAGTATTTCACACTTTCCATTTTCAAAGAAATAAGCATGTTCTTTCTTAATTTAGAGCTTATGTAGGCAGTCCATAAAGGAGAAGATCTGTGAGGAAAGGTAGGAAGCTTTTCTCATGATTTTGTCAAAAGATACATGCAATAGAAAAATAATCTGAAAATCTGCCATATGCAGTCAGCTGTAGTTTACATGGAAAGTAAGCTGTCTACATTTTATATGCATAACTATCACAAAAGACTGACTATGTTTTATCATTGGCCTTTGAAAAGAATATTACTGTGCAGTAGAATACATTAACTTTGTAGAATGTGATTAGTTCTTTTTGAAAAAAGTCATTTCTGAGCAATTAGAATTATTGTTCATTCTAAATAATAATCATTTAGAAATAAAGTTGTTTACGTACAACCCAAAAACTCGATTTTGAGTCATCTTATAGTGATTAGCAGGAGCATGGAAGCACCACCACCATTCTGCTTCTTCTGACACCAAAACAGCCCAATGCAAAGCAGCTCCATTCTGAGTGCTTACAGTGGCAGATCAGACAGTGCTACTTCCTTGTGCTGGCAGCTACCTATCCTAATGCAGTGCTATAGTGCCCAGGGGCCTGGCATTGGTGGAAATGTCCTGCCGTTTGAGAAGGCCTCTTTAAGCACATACTCTGCTATACCCTGTTGAACCCTGAAGACACCTCAGCCACTCAGGGCTGGATATGCTCACACTTGGTTACAGTCATACTGGAAGTTAGACATGGTATGGAGTTGGCTCCAGAGATCTGAAAGGTCCCTGTATTCATAGGTCAATTTCACAGCCACCCTAGGATGCTATGTCTATTGAGGTAAGTCTCACCAAAACTCCAAATTGGCCTGGCATTCCCAAAGCTTTCTGTGTGTTGTACAAACTCAGGGCCAAAGCTCTTGGATACTGAGCACCTGAATAAATAAGATTCTTCAGTTACAGTTGCTGTGACGGGCTTGGCCACAGGTTCATTCACTCTTTCATTCATTGACGTGCCAACACTGGTATTTATGACAAGAAAAATGGGTAGAGCTGTGTACTCAAGGACCTCAAAGTTTTTGAACCCAAGCTGATCATATATGCCATGCAGATAACAACAGTACATCTTTAAGAGTCTAACAGATTGCAGGCCCGCAACCACCAGATTCCATGTCTCCAGATCATTTTTGTCCCTTTTCCTTTTTGGAGACTAGACTCAAGGCATGCCATGACCTTCACTGGTGTGGCTGCTCTAACTTCATTTCTTACCTCTCCTACAAGACCTGACAGGCAAAGTTAGGTAAGAGAGAAATAAAAAGGAGATGAAGGATATAAGAGAAAAGAGCAAAGCCTGAAGATAGGAGTAGAGAAGCTTGTAGAAATCAGTTGACATAGTGGGAGGAAAGGAAACAGGTGTACACTCGGGGGGGGGGGTTGGCTGGGAGTGGACCTGTAAGGGACAAGCAGTTCAAAGAGAGAATGGTCAAAGAGAGAGTCACATTGGAGAAAAAGAAAGTGGTAGGCTTTTCCTTGTGTAAGGCAGGAAAACTGAGTGGGAAATGGTTGGGAGATGAAGAAATGGTGAAAACCCAGTTAAACATAATAATCATAATAATAATTGGGACACAAGAGGAGAAGAAAACACTAAAGGAGTGTGTCATTTTAAATAAAGTATACAGCAATTTAGTCTAGCCAGAAGTTTCTCATTCTTTTAGTTTAGTCATCCCCACTGGATCTAAGTGAGTTCATTTTATAGGACTGAGAGTAGAACACATCTTGATCAGAGCCTACAGCCAAAAAGTGACCAGGCTTTTCTCGTCCATATGAGCCTATATATATATATATATATAAATAAAAACACATGCACACACACACACACACACACACACA